AGTTGGAGGTTGCTGTGAGCTGTGATGCCATGGCACTCTACCAAGGGGAATAAAGTGAGACTCTGTCTCTAAAAAAAAAAAAAGAGAGAGAGAGAGAGAAAGAAAAGGAAGGAAGGAGAGAGAGAGAAAGAAAGAGAGAGAGAGGGATTGAAAGATTTCAAGTCCTATTCGGGAAGTTGGCCAGGTGATTGAGAGTCTCATACAGTGTGGGAATACCCTGAAATAAAGTTAGGTGGCTTATTACAAAGATACCCTTACCACATAACCCAGGTAGGAGAAATGATAATTTATGTCCATAGAAATAGTTGTATAGAACATTAGTAGCAGCTTTATTCTTAACTGTCAGAATTTAGAAACAACTCAAGTTTTCTGTATCTAGAAAAGGAAATATATCTGGTACTGCTCTGCAATCAAACAATAAGGAATTATTAATGTACAAGACAGGAATTTATCAGAAAGTTATTAAACTTAAGCAGACTCAGTTAACTTAAGCCAAAAAGACAGTGGATACATGCTGTGTGATCTTATTTGTGCGATATTCTGTAGAAAAGTGAAACAACAGGTGTAGACAGGAAATCAGAGGTTCATAGACATAAGGATGGAGGGAAGTTCTAACTACAGAGTGATAGCTCCTGAGACTTTTTTAGGGGTGACATAATTGTTTTGTGTCCTGATGGTGGTAGAGGTTATTCAAATCAATGCACGTGTCAAAACTCAGAATTGTACCTTTAAAGAGGAGTTAATTTTAATAAATTTAAATTTATTAAAATAGTATAAAATATGACAAAGTAAAATATTGTTTATATGACTTAAAGGTTTTTTTTTTTTTTGATGGCAAAACACAAGCAAATGACACTCATATAGATAAAAAGCAGAACTCTTGTTACTTACAGTTCCAGGGAGACAAAGCCATCAGGCAGGACCACACAGGAAGAAAGGAAGGAAGGAAGCTGAACCTGGGATGCAGGGCAGAAGATGGAGCTGTAGAGGGACAGCTAGTGTCTGGCAAGTGGGGTGAGATTATCTGAGTTTTCCTTAATCTCTGGGGATTGGCTAATGTTAGCAATTTCCTGGGTTCAAGGGCATAGGGGCTGTCCCCAGTGGTGATAGGCTGGGGTAATAGGGTGGGTACATTGCAGCCTTGAGTGTGAGTCTGATAAGAGAAATAGTTAGGGTGTGAACTTAATCAGCTGCTCAAAAATGAGAACTGACCAGGGCCTCAAAACTGCATCAGGATAGCATTTCATTTAAAAAGAGGTGCTAATATCATTGGGCCCTTGCTGTCTTGACATTGGTTTAGAGTTCAATAATGTGGAGTATTTGAGTGGCCTGTATAGTAGAAGAAACTTTTAAGAGAGTAGAGAATAAGCTGATCAAAGCAGTAAAGAAAATGTTTTTTCTTTTTATGAGAGTCAAAATTAGGAAAGAAGTGCTACTATAAGTAATTCATCTTTGAACTGCTGGCAGTGGTAACCAAGTTTCTCATTTATATAACATTAGATAAGAAAAAGATCTGAGGTTTTTGGAGACTCTAATAATATTTTGATGGAATTAAAAAGTGTGCTTCAATTTTGTGATATTTTATGACAATATTTTGGCATATTTGTCAGATTAAGCTGGTAGGTGTGGCAGTTATGCTGCTGGCAGGTATGACCTTATAGTTCAATAATGTATACATAAAGATTAGGGTATTTCTATGTAACTTAGGGGAGGGGTAGCTGTGTTGGTCATGGTTGGGGAAACAGAGGAATAGGCCATAGTAGAAAGCTGGAGTGAGACACTCAGGAATGGGTGATCATCCTTTCCCCAGGGTATTGAGGGTTGAACCAATAA